ATATATATATAAATCCATGTTATGTGGGAAAAATGAAACCAGAAGTATCAGTAATTAAGGCAAGGGCAGCAATTTTACTATTTCTGTGCAGTTTGCCTTTAGTGGACAAAGAGGGTGAAGATTATGAAAACAGGGTAGAAACAAACCCACATCAGATGATCACAGCATCAAAAGCCAAAAAGCAATGCTTAAAGAATTTTGAATTACAGTCTATCAAAAACTGGGATGGGCTCAGTTTAAGCAGAAATGTTCCCAAAAGACACTTCACAGCAGAGGAATGTTGTTATCAATATAGGAAAAAAACCAACACCCTACTTGTATGCTATTGCTTACAGCATAGAATGAAAACTAACAAATATAAACAAATCTTGAAAGCATCATTAGGCTGTAACTTCTCACCAAACCTAATGCTGCAGCTTGTGCATTATTTTCTCTCCCACAACTACCAAGATTGCAAGAAAAAGGTTCAATGAGCTGAACCTTGCACCCCATTTACTCTTTGTAAAATGACAAAATAAAAAAGTAGCCTGAAGAACAGGGATGTAAAGCTTTACAGTGATAAGAGGGCTGCTAATTTCTATTTTCAAATACATTTTAAAAGCACCTTTATGGAGAAATGGTACTCCTACTGCACTCGATAAGGACATAAAAAACCAAGCCTCAAGAAACTGAAGCGATGCCACTTTCACACCCTACATAAAAAAGGACATAAAAACTACACGCACAAAGAAACAGCTAACTAAAAAAAAAGGAAACTTTTTTCCATTGGTAAGTGATTTTTACCAGCTATGAAGGAAAAAGAAGTTACTATACCATGACCTGTTTCACTTCACAGTGTTTTAACAAAAGCAATTACTGAACATCCTAAAAAAAATTCCCAGGATCACGTAACAAAATGCTCATGAAGGAAAGTTCTGAATTTAGCAGTATTTTGGGACAAACTTAAGAAAGAAATACTACTTCTGAAAGTGGTTTATAACAAGAATATACACAATGCATCTCCATTTTGCTCAATACCTAGTAGTATGAAAGGTCAATTTCCTCTCAAAATTTTTAAAACATCTGACAATTTTGAGCATGCTAAAGGCATTTTCTACCACCATACTAACTCTACAGAACATGTCTGAAAAAAACCCCAAACAAAAAAAACCTTAAACAAATAAAAAACCACACACCATAACCCAGACGTTCAGTCTGAGACAGAAACGAATTTCAGAGTCTTTATTTTCTGCTATTGTTCTCATCATTAGATATTGTTTCCCAGAAGCTTTCGCTAAATCTTCAAAGAACAGAGAGCAACTTAAGCTCTGTATAATAAAGGGAGTCTCTTACTACAAAGTCCTCTAAACTTGGAATTGGATTTTGTGTTATTTCAGTACAAGTAATCATTTGCATTGCTTGGTTTTTTAATTGGCTTTAGGACACTACCTAACCTATTCTCTTCTACATTAACAGGACATACCGAAAAAAAATAGAATACTCTGGAAATCGGTTTACTAGTGGAAAGATACATCTTGCACACGAGAATCAGAAAGCAAAAGTATGATAGTTCATAGCAGATACAGTATTTCAGTTTAGGCAAATTCTTAAAGTCTTTACTGACAGACCATTTGAATTCTAACATTACAAACATATCTACATGCACATGTGCATCTCTCTGGGGGTCAGTGACTGGCAATTAACTGTTCTGCAGGTTTGTCTCCTAGGCAGCTTCTGGAAGCAGCTGAACAGCAGTGACTGGAATCAGCATGTAAATAGATGTTGAAAGAATGGGAACTCCAAGTTCTGAGACTGGAGATCAACTTCTCAGGAAAGCAAAACAGCTTTTAGTCCAGTGGCAACGGTGTATTTGAACGGGCTAGAGAGTAACAGTACTTGGACTTCTTGTAGTTTTTCAAGATGACTTTCCTATCACTGCTATTAACTTTAGCTATTAACTAACTATTAACTTTCAACCATGTTACACGGAGACTTTAAAGGAAGAAACAGTGACATAATCTACATAAAACACATTTGGTGACAGATGACATTCAATAATCCAAAGACATTTTATGATAAAAAGACCCATTCGGTTGTTCTGACCTCACTAAAATCTCTTCAGATAAAGATGCGCGAATATGCAAACTACGAAGAACACTGAAGTCCGTTTCCCAGTCTTCAAATCTAGCTCAAATGAATAACAGATCATGATACAGCAGCACCCTCATCAGATCTGCACTTCTTTACAAGTCTGAACATATCGGGAAGAAAACCTCTCTGAACAAACCAGAAATTCTGTAAAGTTTTGCAAACAAACCTGAAAGAATAAACAAAGTTCTGACAAGTCTATGCAGACTTAGAGATCGGTCTCATCTGTCTGAAATGCAAAGATTTTCTTTTTTTTAAGAAAAGGAAAAAAAACATCAAAAAAAAACCTACCAAAGATTTTTTTAAAACTCCTACGTTGTTTTATTAATAAACACTGAGCCAAAATATTTTAACAAGAATATAGCCAATAAATAGCAAGGATAAAAAATGACATAAGTGTTTTAAGCTTGAATGTTCTGCCTAGCTGATAGGAAAAAGAAATTAGGAGCATGAAGCACAGATGCAGACATAGGGAGAGGGTCGACCAATTTAACGCATGCATCCGCGCAAATGCTTACCTACCTGAAATTCAAAAATTTTGAAGGGCTCCAGGATCTTCGAGGAAACTTCAAAGAGTTGGGAATCTGTGGATGAGATTCCAAGTAGAATAGGAGACATCTTATACAAATGAGACTTAAAAACGCACCACACATGTTCTGATTCTCTGTACCAATTTTATAATGTACCGATGATGAACCTAGATTTCTGATGGTGAAAGAACTGTTTTGTGAGATCTGGAAGAGTCTCCCCTCTCTGCAAGAAACCACTCAGCACTCAATATTTACTTGATGGAGAAGATTCACATACATAGAAACGGAAGTCTAAATAAGGTAACAAAACAAAGTTTATGTATTTGATTCTCAAATTTAAAGGGGCCATAAAAATTCAAACAAAAGCCACCACCACTCTTGAGAGTAACACAAAATGAAAGGTTGCACTTTTTTTTCTGTAGTCTCCTTTGAGTCATATGGAAAACTGTAAAAGGTAACCAATTAAATAATGCATAGGGTTTTAACAGGACCTGGTTTGGTCTTTTTCAATAAAGGCAGAGACTAATTTCTTCTCTCAGTTACGTACAAAGCAGCACAACCTAGAGAATTAAAACTGGTAACAAATTATACTGTTTCTTCATAGCGTCATGCAACTTAGCACAGTCAATTATGTTTTTACAAAAGGAGCTACACAGCTAAACAGGGAAGCAAATCAATAACAGAGATATTTAATCAGATGGAATACCAACTACTGGTTACCAGTTACCTAAATATGAAGTTATTTGCTGAAGTCAAAAATGAGAAGGGAGAGATCAACTGGTCATCCAGTGAGGTGTACTTCCCAATCAGAACAAATGAAAACTCCTCAAACATACCCCTCCTTCCCTGCCCACTTCCCCCCCCCC